AAATTTACCATTAAAAGAATTTACTTTTTTTCAAATCTGACGACTAAAAAAACAATTTGTCATATGTATATTGAATAAATCTTAAACCTTTTTTTTTTTGATAACATCAGCTACTTATTAATACAATTAATTTGATAAAGAATATAGTTGAAGTATGCAATTGATTACATTTGCATTCTTTAATATTATATTATTAAATGTATTTCTGATATATTTTTCAAGCATTTTAGTATCATATTATTAAACATATTTCCGATGTATTCTGATATATCTTTCAAATATTTTATTAATATATTTCCCAATTAATAATAATAATATTCCTTTTCTATGCATTACGTAAAAACTGATAACAAATCATATAACTAATTTTCTTCTGATAACAATTATCTCTGATTATATGTACTAAAATGATAATAAGAAATTACTTACTATCATGTGATTTCATCGTTGCAATGGCGACATTTTGATTGACCCTTTCAATGACCTCATCAATTTCTTTTATTGTTAATATTGGACATTTCTTTAATGCATACATATAGTATGTAATATATTCCATTTGTACATTATCCACCAAATTATGAAGTACCATTAATAAATTATTGCAATTATTTTCTTCACATGCTATATTTATTTTCTCCACTAAAAGATGGCAGTATTTTTTTAGAGAAAATAAATTATTTAATTAAATTAATGCAAAAAATAAATAAATTTAATTAAAAAAATGCATTCAAATATTTTTTTCAAATAATATTCAAATTAATAAAATTTTTTTAAGACATTTCAATTTATTAATGTAAAGTCATTTAAATGTTTAAATTTTACAAATGTTTTTTTTTTTACATATTCAGATATTGCTTACTCAGGCAATCAATTATTTAATCAACTAATTATATTATGCAAATTATCTAACTATTGAAGGACATCCAAGTGAAAAAAAAGATATTCGTTTTTAAGTGATTCAAAGAAAATTAAAAAAAAAAAACCGCCGATTTTTATTTGTTCGAAATCATTTTTTTCTAGTTTTAAAAAAAATTTTTTTATTTTTTGGATTACTTTTAATTAATTAATTAGCTCTAACAATAATTATTTCAGTTCTTTTTTATATCATCAAATACATTACATTTAGCATTCTTTTTTTTCCAACTATTTCTACTATTCGGAACTCAATTTATTAATTTAAATATTACAAAAATAAATCCGATATATCATTAAAGTTATTAAATATTGAAACCGAAAGAAAAGAGAAATTATCAAATATTCTCACACATTAATATCTTTTATAACCATTTAGAATTTTTGCTAATTTCTTAATTATTCTTTAAAAACTTTTTTCCACTCTTTTTTTTATTTTCGAAATAATTATTCCGTCTATTAATTTACACGAAAAAATTTAATCCAAATATTTCAAAACCAAACAAAAAAAAAAAAAACGAAATTTTAATCATATAAATGTTATTTGAAATATTAATATTGAATAACACTTATATCTTGATATTAATTATTTTCATGCAAGAATAATTTCTTATAAATATAATTTTTCCGGTTATATACCTGAAATAATAGTAAAATGCAAAAATTTACTATTTGAAATCTGTTTTAATACCGGAAAAAAGTCTATTCTTTCTCGTCCATTTTCAAATTATTAGAATTTATATTCTCTTTTGCGAGATTTGAAATTAATTTTGTACTTGAAATAATTCGCCTAACCATTTATTCGATCGTTATCAATCGTTTGATTTGTCATTTCAATGATTTCTTCAATTTCTTCAATCGTTGTATACCGGTTACATTTGAGTGTTTTCAAATAAAACGGTACATATTCCGTTTTTACACCTTTTATATCCGTTAACATTCCGTTCAGGTTATCAATATCATCCTTTTCACATGCCATTTCAATATCGTTTACTAAATTTTATATTTAATACAAATAAACATCATTATCGATTTTCGATATAAAATATTACACCCTCATTTCTTGTTTTATTTTTTCATTAAAGACTAAATGAATTTATAAGTCAAGCAAAGGTAATTAATAAATAAGCATCAAATTTAGATATATTACTTAAATATTTAATTTGAAAAAAAAAGTGGGTAAAAACAGGAAACGGAATAATGCACTCAAGTGCTATTTCTTATTTAGCCAATTCAGTTTTCCGGGTGAACATTTTTAAAAATGTTTAACAGCTACAAATTTACTATATTTTACAAATTTCATATAAAATCTCTAATTAGTTTATCATGATATCAGTTTAAAAATTTTCCAAAACTACGATAAGCTTATCATAATTAAGCCCCGTCTTTTTTTTGCCAAAGTTCTTTCTTTTTTTTATTAGACATTTAATAAACTTAATTAATATTTTTTTGCCAAAAATTCCTTCTTATCACTTATCATTCCAAAAAATTTTTAGCAATGTTAATTAATCAAATTTGCATTTTGTTTATACAAATGTAAAACATTCTCTATTTAAAATTTTAAAATTAAAAAAAGGATTAATGAACAATTTCAAAATAAATAACATAAAATTTGCATATTTCTTTGTTAGCAACATAACATAAG